TTAAAAATATGTTGCAGTTGTACGTTTAATTTTGTGGCTATTTTAGGGTTTGCATATACAGTGGGGAAAATAATTATTTGATCCCCTGCTGATTTTGTAAGTTTGACCACTTACAAAAAAATTAAGGGTCTATAATTTTTATGGTAGGTTTATTTTAACTGATAGAGACAGAATATCAACAAAAAAATCCAGAAAAAAACACATTATATAAAGGTTATAAATTGACTTGCATTTCAGTGAGTAAAACTTTGAGTTGCCAAGAAACCTTAAGGCTTTTGAGAGAATCTTTAAAGAGGAGTGGAACAAAATCCCTCCTGAGATGTGTGCAAACCTGGTGACCAACTACAAGACATGTCTTACCTCTGTGCTTGCCAACAAGAGTTTCTCCACCAAGTTTTGCTTGGGAATCAAATACTTATTTGTACGGTGGCCGAGAGAGCTCAACACGCTGCAACTTAAGAAAACACATGCAAATTGAAAAAACACCAGCAAATTAAGAAAACATCTTCATCAGTTTGACAACACACGCGCTGCAAATCCTCACAACACATGCAAATGAAGAAACGCGCTGCAAATAGCACGAACCACAACGGAAATGTTTCAAGGGGACCCAAAAAAAGTGACGGACCCGGCTGGGATCAAACTTACAAAATCAGTAGGGGATCAAATAATTATTTTCCCCACTGTAGGAGGCAAAATGGAGGTGCTTAAAATATGTATAATCCACTTCCAAATGTATTTCTCATCAGTTGTTTTTTTTTTCTACTTGAGTATATGCAATATGAAAATTTTTAAAACTTTCCATAATGTCGAAGTAAAACGCCCAAATGAGATGATACCTCATTGACTCACTCTTAGATTGTGAAGGAGTATGAAAGAGCCGTGATCTTTCGATTAGGTCGTATTGTGGACAAGAAACTAAAAGGACCTGGTATGACAAAGGTTTACATTTATATAGCAGCCCACATATTTGTATAATTGAATGTTATTAATAAAGAGCATCCCTGATAATAATTTCTGTACTTTAAATATATAATCATATATATTTGTACATTATTTATATGTTATATAGGAATTTTATTTGTGCTGCCGTACATTCAGGACGGTGACATTTGATATTCCTGCTCAAGAGGTACAAATAATGTCATATTACTAATCATATAATTGTTATTATTGTATTTTTTATTAGTTTTTATATTTAGCTTTCATTTATATTTAAGTTTATATGTGTGTGTGTGTGTGTGTTTAAATATATTAAATATTTAGAATTTTCAGTAAGGTTTCTTAAGTTTAAGTTTTTCATGTAATAATTATATTTTATTTTATTTCAGCTTTATTTTAATGAACAAACTTTTTTTTTAGCTTTCATAGTTAACTTAGAGAGAACCTTATTACTGAGAGAACCCTTGACCAAGTACAAGTGTCCAAATAAAAGTGTCATACCAATAGAACGTTAAATAAACTAGATCTGAATACCTAATTTAAAGATTTGGATCATTATATGAAAAGATGTTTATGCGAGAACAGTTCCGAAGGACTCCGTGACCGTGAGTGTGGATGGTGTGGTGTACTTTTGTGTCTTTGACCCGATCTGTTCCGTGGCCAACGTGTCCAATGCAGACCACGCAACACGGCTGTTGGCACAGACCACCCTGCGAAATGTCCTGAGCACAAAGAGCCAGTCAGAGCTGCTGTCTGACAGAGAGAGCGTCTCATACAACATGCAGGTACATAAACTCTCAGAGCAGCAGTACAGAGGCACCATAACGATCAAATAGAATTGGCTATAATATAAACTTTCATTATGTTCTTCACAACATAATCGCTCACAAAAAAAAGTCCCCTCCAGTGAGCTCACAAACTGCTGCAAATGGATCACTGAATCAGTGAGGTGAATTAGAGAACCTAATCATTTCAATTTGGTAATTTTGGTATGGTCAAAATTTTGGTATGTCCCTTATCCAAAGTTATTTTATATTTGTATATCAGAATATGCTACTTGTATTGTGTTTTTGTAGTATTATGGTGTGTTGTGTCTGAAATCGCCCCTATACACTGCACTTAATACAGTACACTAATATAGTTCACTTTTAAAAGAGTGAACGAAAACAAGTGTGCAAATTCAGAGATTCATGTGCTGTTTAGTTTGTGCTTGCTGTTTAATACATAAAATTGCTTTGTGTCAAGCACAGTGCTTACATGCACAAGCATTTACTGCTAAATTTGTCCTAGATGTGGAAATTAATTTGATGTGATCCCTTGCAGTGCATTGGGTACAAGCTTTATTATGGAGCATTATAGGATATGGGATGTCCAGTATGGCTTCAGACATAACTACAACTACTCTATACCCTTTATAATGGTTATAGGGAGCAATTTCAGACAGTCCAGAATTATTTATTTGCTATTAAACTGATGCATCAGCTGGGATCTGCCCACAAGAAGGGTATATCATATTCCCAGATCTTTACAGCTTTGTATCATCATGATGACAGATTGCCTTGGATGAGGCCACGAGCGTGTGGGGCATTAAAGTGGAGCGAGTGGAGATAAAGGATGTTAAACTGCCCATCCAGCTCCAGAGGGCCATGGCTGCAGAAGCTGAAGCAGCTCGAGAAGCCCGTGAAAAGGTGTGACCATTGCAACAAAATCGAATGCAGTCGTTCATGTACTAGTATTTAATTGTGGAAGTCAGTACTGCCCAAATAATGGACTCAACATTGAACTTAGGTTGCACAAATATCACATGCAAACTTAGACATCACAAAATAGTGCACTCATAGTGAATATTTAGCTTCAACAACACATGGCAACAGCACTGATGTATTCTGAAGAAGAGTTGCTGCAGTGCATTGTCTAAGCAAATACATAATAAAAGTTTATATGTATATAACTGTTTTTTATTAACTTTCATAAATCATGTTTTTCATTGTGTTATCATGTTTATTGTTTTATTGTGCTAGCTGTATTTTTTGTTATTATTATTTAATCAAAACAACCCAACTGCATTTTTTACAGAGTTATCTGTTTTTGCAAATGAACTCTTCATATAATCCAAACCGAACACAATAGCAACGACTCCTTAAAGATAATGTATCTGATTTTAAATGTAATAAAAAAAAGAAAGAAACATTCCAAATAGGTTTACCAACCAATAGCCAACCTATAGATAGCCAACCAACTAACTAGAATGATGATTTTTTTTTTCTTTTCTGAATTTATATAAACCAAAATTTGGTGCCATACTATCTAACTTCTGTTGAGTGATACAACCCTGTTACCCATTATGGAATTCGTTTTAATAATTGTATTATTATTATTATTAGATAATTCGATTATTAATTATTATTAGATTTTCATTATAAAAAAATTTAATCATTTTGTTTTCATTTTGAACCCCCCTTTATAAATTGCAATATTTTTATATGGGATTTTTATATTAAAAATTTCGCTTCCCACAAGTAAATGTTTTATTTGGATTGAGACTCCCAAAAGCAATGCTCTACAGGCCTTCTAGGATCATTTGTAGAAAATCAGTGATTACAGCCCTACAGTTTAATATTATAGCTGAGCCAAATATGGAGGAATGCATTAAAATCCACATAAGGCACAACATACGACACAAGCAACTCAAGTGTATGATTATATCGCTGTGTAGGTGATTGCAGCTGAGGGTGAGATGAACGCCTCACGGGCACTGAAGGAAGCGTCTCTGGTGATCGCCGAGTCACCATCAGCTCTGCAGCTGTGATATCTCCAGACTCGAAACACCATCGCAGCAGAAAGAAACTCCACCATTATCTTCCCCTTGCCTATTGATATCATTCAGCATTTCACATCCAAAAAAGAATTTATGATTTGCAGATTTCCAAGATTCTAGTCTTCTCAGAAAGTTGTAATATGATGTTTTCCTCCAAGAAACACAATTCAGAGAAATAGCAAGGAATAGTTCACCCAAAAATGAAAATATGCTGAAAACTGACTCACCCTCAAGTAATCCAAGATGCAGGTCAGTTTCTTTCTTCATCGTAACATATTTGGAGAAATTTAGCATTACATCACTTGCTCACCAAAAGATCCTCTTCGGTGAATGGGTGCCGTCAGAATGAGAGTCCAAACAGCTGATAAAAACATCACAATAATGCACAAGTAATCCACATGACTCCAGTCCATCAGTAACCATTGCCATGTGAAAAGCTGCATGTTTGTTAGAAACAAATACTTATACTTAAAACATCATGATGGATTGATAGATTTCTCCAAATCTGTTCTAATGAAGAAACAAACTCTTCAACATCTTGGATGTCTTGGCCTGAGACAGGGCCAAAGCTGGGGTATGTGGGGAGTAAATTTCAGCAAATTTTTTATTTGTGGGTGAAATATTTTTGAATAACCAGATAGTGAAATGGTTTCTGAGTTATTAATGTAGTATAATAGCAATATTATACATATATATCATATCTTAGCAATAATAATTAGTGCTGTCAAATGATTAATCGCGATTAATCGCATCCAAAATAAACATTTTTGTTCACATAGTATATGTGTACTGTGTATATTTATTATGTATATATAAATACACACACATACAGTATATATTTTGAAAGTATTTACATACATATATTTATAATTATATAATTTATATTATATATAAATATACTTAATATACATAAACATTACACTTTTTTCTTAAATATATACACTCGTGTGTGTGTATTTGTATACATAAAGTGTATATATACATAATAAATATAAACAGTACAATCATATTAGTTATGTAAACAAAAACTATTATTTTGAATGCGATTAATCACAATTAATCGTTTGACAGCACTAATAATAATATATTGTATTTTGCCAGACTTTTGAAAACTGAAAAAAAAAAAAAAAAATATATATATATATATATATATATATATAGTATATATAAATATCTTCTCTCAAAAGTTAGACTTCTTTTTAAATTAGTTGAAAGTCAGCTCTAAGAAACAGGATGCTTTTACATTTTCTTTTAATATTTAAACCCAAAGGGCAATAAAGTGCAACATAATCATCAAAAGAGTTTTTGAATGCATCACAACAGTGAGTAGATACACTAACAAGGTTTGAACGAAACAAAATAAATCACAGCTTTAAGACATGCTTTTCCATTAACGTGTTGTAACATAGATCACACATAAAGCTCATACAAGCTGTACAACACAAATTAGGAGAAGAGAAAAAAAAAATCAATAGGACATTTCATTAACACAATCCATGTTACAGACCTCCCTTAAATATCCAATGACAGACAGTTGTGTTTGTATTCCAGTTCATCAAAAAATAACATGCAGTCATTATTTACTCATTCTCTTTTCATTCTCAAACGTAAATGCTTTTCTACTCAATATAACACTAGTTCACAATATGGATAGATTTGGAACATAGTGCACAGGTCATAAAGACTATGATGACTAAGATGCTATATAAACTATGATGTTTATGGTGCTTTTTAAATCCAATATTTGGCGATAATATAGCTAATAAGAGATTTATAAGCAATTTTTAAATGTCTGGAGCATCAAATTAGGTAAATCATTTTTTAGCACGGCACAACTGTTAAAATGTGAAGTACGCTACATGGACAAAAATAACAACAAGTTTGGAGCGATATGAGACTGAGTAAATAGTGACAATTTTCATTTTTTTGGCTGAACTGTTCCTTTATGAATGGAAGAAGCATTCAGAAACTCCAGAATCATGTCCATGGGGAAAGGGGAAAAAATACAAAAGAAACAAATCAGTGCATTTCACATCCTGATTGAGTGAAGATTTCCTTTCATTTATATTTCAAAAGCAGAGATGAGCATAATCCAAGCAGACACATAAGGAACTGTAATAGCAGACAGATAGTTGATTTTTATATTTCATTATTTCATTCAGAGCTTTCAATTTAATTGCTATATGAGTGAAATACATTTAAATACAAGTCTGATATTACATTGACGCCAACCTTCAAATGTATACCTGTAGTTTACATTCCGTTCTGTAGATTCAACATGAAGATGTTTTAGAATGTATCGAGTCAAACTGTGAATGACATTGTAATGCACCTTCCTAACCTGAGCTGGATCACTCGGAATGAGCAGGAATAAATAAACAAAATTCACCAGTACAATGGTATAAAATCAGCCATCATTATAGTTCAAGTGTTTGTAAATGGCAGCAGCCATTTGCACTCTCTGTGTTAGTACAAATGTTAAGGCTGAAGAATGTTAACTAATGATTTCATGTTCCTATAAAAAAAATCAATCATGGTCATTTATGCTAATCATAAAATATGTAATCACTAATAGCTGCACTACTAAGTACACTTAGACATAAAATAAAAGCATGTATATTGTCCCCTCAGGACATTAAAACATTCATGAACAAGACGACGGTCCTAACTCCTTTCTAAAATTCCCAAAGATTGAGTCCAGATTTTTACCACAACGTAAGCAAGAATACAAGTGTATATACACATACAAATGATCCACTTAATATACAGGATAGCTGTTGTAGGATATTCAGGGAAGATAAATGCAGGTGTAGTTTAAATACTTTCTGGTTATTATTATTCACTACTAAAGACTTTCCTGTATTAAGACCATGGCTTTGACACTGTAGACCCTGAATGTATTAGAATAAACAATAATAAAGTCTCTGTAGAAGCCTGCATTTTTAAGAACTGAGGTACTCGTGATAACTTGTTGCAAACTTAAAATGCTCACGTAATGCTCTGTAGTACTTTTGCAAAAAAACGTTTAGTTAAATATTATGCAGGAAAGTCTCTAGGACAAATGCCCTCATAGTGTCCACATGAATGCAGTTTAAACATATTATCTGAGTCAGAGCAACCGGAAGACTTATGATACATACTGTACAGAGACGAGGGACATAAACAGCCATGACCGATAACTGTGGCGTCAGTTCATATAGGCAGTTCTTAATGCATTCCGGAGATTTCTGTAAACATGGACAGTTGAGATGAAGGCATGAGGATTGTTTACCCTCACAAACATGAGATGAAGGTAAAGACAGCAGGTTGAAGTTTTGCAAGTTGTTTAAACTACTGCATTGTCAGTCCATGCTAACATTAGCATCCTTGTATAGTGGTCACAAAATGTGAATGAACCACCTTAAAAAGTGTAAGTACATCTTAGACTCATTTGTATCAACATTTAAGCCCCTAGACTGCATAATTATTAGTTGATCCTGTTTTGACAAATTTGACCTCATTTGAATGACAGCTGTCCGTACTAAACTTGCCTAGTATAAAGACGTCTTTCTGTCTTTTCCTGTTTGGTCTATTGATTACAGTAATGCTTGGGCTTGCACAGAAGGTTGCTGGTGGGTGGTTTTCCTTTGAAAAAGGCAATTTCTTAGTAAAACTGTATATTTGTTATCCTGATTAATCTTTGGAAAAGCTTGAGACAATAGGCAAAGGTTGGGGAACAAGCACCATGATGTCCTGTTCGAACGGAAAACCTCAGCACAAGCCCAAATCCATTAGAGTAGAAGGTACAAAAAAGGATATATTTCCAAAATGGCCTGTGAAATATCATAATGCACAACATTGTGACTCACATTATATAGTTTTACACTAAAAAAGGGAGAATCATTTTCCCTTTTTCTGTTCTCTCTAGTGTAGGTTTATTTGTTAATTTAACAATTTTGAAGCTCAAAATTCTCTAATTTTCTCATTGTCATGTTGTTCCAAACTTATATGACTGACTATTTTGTGGAACGCAAAAGGAGAACTTTTGAAGAATGTGCTGGTCTTTCTTTTCCATGCAATTACGGGACTGATGCTTTCAAGCTTTCAAACCACCATCAAAGTGTAGTAAAAGTGAACTTGTGTGCTGCATTGTAAGTCTGCTAATCAACTGACTGTGAGACCCGGCCAAAATCCGATTGGTCGTTAACTGTGAATGAATTCTTTTTTTTAAATTAAACAGTCAATTCAATTCATGGAGTGGTCTGGGGTGCATTTCCCAACGTAATTTGCTGGCTATGTACCACAGTATGGTGCATCACTAGTGAAATTAACTAGCTAGTCATGAATGTTACCTGAAACCGTAGTAACTTTGCTGTTAGTGACGTCATGCAGGTGGTGCAGTAATAACTTCTGCTAATTATGTAAGATTATTGCTTTAAATTATGAACATGTGAACTGAGGACAACTTTGCTTCTTTTGTCCTCTGTTGTTTGGCTTAATTTCCATGTTTGATTCCTTTTTGCATCAACTTTTTTAATTTCCATGAAAAACTAAAAGATGTAGAATTCAATTTTCATTTGTATGTCACATCATACTAACAAAAAATGTCTAATCACAGATTAAAGGCAGTAGTTCCCACCAAACAACTTTGTGAAGCTGTTTGATAATATTGTTTGTATTTTCTATACTATAGTTGTATTGTAACTGTATTTTCATGAAAACATTTAACGTTTAACTGGTAACAAAAGAAAAGAGTGTTGGTAACAATGGAACTTTCAACTTTAGCTTGAAATGCTTTTGAAAAACGCACCCCCAATTGATTCTTCATGAATCAGTCCTGTTTGGTTCTCCAGATCAACTCACTGATCTGGTTACACTGTAGTCGGAGTATATCAGTAAACTTTTCTTTTTGAAATTTGAACTTTCATGCATCTTTTTAAAGCTTAAAAGCTTCAGTCCCTAATCATTGAAATTGTTTGAAAAAGAACAATAATCTTTTTTTTTTTTTTTTTACAAATTTCTTCATTTATGCTCCACATTAGTAAGTCAGTCATGTAGGTTCAGAACAAGTAAATTATGACAGAATGTTACATTTTTGGGTGGACTATCCATTTACATATACATGACTTAAAACTATTTTGTTCAGTCTTGCTAAAAAAAGTCAACTCAAACCCTGATCACTGTACCAACTAATATATTAACATTGACATTGGCATGATGAAACTGAAAGCGCTATGACCACCATCTATGGTGTAAGAGGTGTGAGAGCATCCTCTATTCCATCCAATCAGAATCCAAAATGAGAAACATGAGTTACAGAAAAAAAAAGAGTGCAAGAGACTGAGTAAGAAAGGCAGAGAATTGGACACTCATCTAGGGAAGGGCTGTTGTCGGGAGGGTGAAGCGGGACTAGAGGCTGGTCGATGAAGGGGCGACTGGGTGGGAGACATTCGTGGGCTCAACTCGCCTGTTTGAAGACGCCACAGAAGCTCTTCATTGTTGCGACTCAGTCGTTTCTTCTCATTGCTCTCTTTCTCAACGTACACCTGCAGGTTGGCATTTTCCTCTGAAAGTTGCCTGGTAGAATAGAGGAAACAACTACTGAGCACTATCCGTAGCTTGAAAGGGGTCATGCACTCTTAAAAATAAAGGTTTTATAAGGTGGTTTGGTTACACTTTATTTCGATAGTCCACTTTAGACATTCTATTAACTATAAGTAACTTTGTAACTACATGTCAACTAATTATCATTAATTTGCAACTACATGTCTACTAACTCTCAGAGTAGACTGTTAGGGTAGGTTTAGGGATAGTAGAATAAGTTGACAAAGAAAGTGTTAGAAGATATTAAGCAGACAGTATACTAATACTCTACTAACTGCTAGTTGACATGTAGTTGCAAAGTTACTTAATGTTAATAGAATGTCTAAAGTGGACTATCGAAATAAAGTGTTACCGGTGGTTTTCACAGCAGTGCCAAACAACCTTTCAGTAACAGTTCTTCAAAGAACATCTAGTGTGAAGAACATTAAAAAAAAATCTACAACTTTTTCCACTCTGAAGAACCTTTTATGAAATGGAAAGGTACCATGAATGTTAAAGGTTCTTTATGGAACCATCAATGCTAATTATAGGGTTAGTTCACTCAAAAATGAAAATTCTGTCATTAATTACTTTGGAGAGTATCCACTGAACGCAAACAGCGCATGCTATTCTGTGTTACTGCGCCACGCACCATAAGTTTTCTACGTTGTTTACTTTGATTTGAAGGAAAACAACGTATCCGTGTGGCGCAGCTGACACAGAATAGCATATGCGGTTTGCGTTCAGTGGATACTTTCCAAAATGGCACCAGCGTGATGCGGAGGAGAGGAATTGTTGAATAAAGTCGTTATTTTTGTATTCTTTGCGTACAAAAAGGATTCTTGTAGCTTCGTAAAATTACGGTTGAACCCCTGATGTCACAATGATTATTTTACCGATCTTCTTATGTTTCTGGATGTTGATCGTGGTAATTACATTGCTGTCTATGGGAGGGTCATAGAGCTCTCAGAATTAATCAAAAATATCTTAAATTCTGTTCCGAAGATGAACGGAGGTCTTACAGGTTTAGAACGACATGAGGGTGAGTAATTAATGACAGAATTTTCATTTTTGGGTGAACTATCCCTTTAAGAAGTTTTTTAATAGTGTAGTATGGAAATCCTTTCAAACTAAGATGCCTTTAAAGGGTTACTCCACCCCAAAATGAAAATTTTGTCATTAATTACTTATCCCCATGTTGTTCCAAACCCGTAAAAGCTTCGTTCGTCTTCGGAAAACAATTTAAGATATTTTGGATGAAAACTGAGAGGCTTGTGACTGTCCCATTGACTGCCAAGTAAATAACACTGTCAAGGCCCAGAAAAGTATGAAAGACATCGTCAAAATAGTCCATCTGCCATCAGGGGTTCAATATGAATTTTATGAAGCGACAAGATTACTTTTTGTATGCAAAGAAAACAAAAATAACGACTTTATTCAACAATTCGTCTCCTCCGTGTCACCGTAGCGCCATTTTGGAGAGTATCCACTGAATGCAAACTGCGTATGAATGGCAATACGGTGACACAGAGACGAATTGTTTTCTTTGCGTACAAAAAGTATTCTCGTAGCTTCATAAAATTCTAATTGAACCACCTTGACAGTGTTATTTACTTGGCAGTCAATGGGACAGTCACAAGCCTCTCAGTTTTCATCCAAAATATCTTAAATTGTGTTCCGAAGACGAACGAAGCTTTTACGAGTTTGGAACGACATGGGGGTAAGTGATTAATGACAAAATTTTCATTTTGGGGTGGAGTAACCCTTTAATAGTATAAATTAGAAATGTTTTATAAAGACCTGGACATAGTAAGGTTGCGGTCAATCCTGTCTTTTAGGTCTTCATTTTGCTGCTGTAGCACCTGAATACGCTCCTCCAACAGAACATTCTTTTGGGCCTGTGTAAAAACATGACAAATACACTAAATCACCGAAAAACATTTATCATTTCAAATGAGCACTTTAGCTTTATTACTCATAATATACTGTACATTAAAATAACATGGAGAATACAGTCATATCAGAGGCCAAAAAGTGTTTTATTATGCAGGGGAGTTGCATAGCGGGGGCCAAAAATGTATCTTGGTAACTTTCTATTGTTACTGGACACCTTTTATGGTTGACAAATACATCTGCATATAGGACATTTTTAATTTCTAATGGCAGAAGTAACTGAAAAAGTTTGGTTTTGCTTGATAACACATCCACACTGAGAGGTGCGAGTATAAGTTTAAGAAGTATAAAGGCCCTGATATACTTCAAGATAAATTGAAGCTGAACTGGTGTGATGTCATTTCGAACAAAATTAGGTCAAACAAAGTTTGAAACAGTTTCTGGAAAAGTTTGCACATGATGGTAAACACCTTCGAACTACCATTGGTCCATTGCAATTAGACGGCTCTGGGGTTTTCTGCCTTTATGAGTACACCTTTAAAAACCTCATGAAATCTGTTCTGTGTAGACAAATTCCCTTTTGAAAACAGCAAGTTTGAGTGAGACATATGGAAACAGTGGTCTTTTTTATTTTAAATAGGCTTTAGTTATGCCATGAACTATACTCGGCTACATGTTGTTTGGCAGGGGGAGGGACATTGTCATTCTACAGAGCATTTGACTGGTCAAAAATCTTTGTATGGCAACTTTAGTCATCAAACATTTGTCCCACACACACACATTTTAAATGGGTATATCTGATAAAAAGTGAAGTGTCTTTAATATGTACTTGCTACATTGTTAGAAGAATGGCATCTACGCTAATATTAGTCTGTTTCTCTCTTATTCCGAGGTCACCGTAGCCACCAGATCCAGTCTGTATCCAGATCAGATGGTCACTGCAATCACCCGGATCCAGTACGTATTCAGACCAGATGGTGGATAAGCACCTAGAAAGGACCTCCACAGCCCTGAAAGACAGCGGAGACCAGGACAACTAGATGAGCCCCAGATACAGATCCCCTGTAAAGACCTTGTCTCAGACGACCACCGGGACAAGACCACAGGAACCAGACGAGTCCTCTGCACAATGTGGCATTGCTGCAGCCTGGAATTGAACTGCTGGTTTCGTCTGGTCAGAGGAGAACTGGCCCCCCGACTGAGCCTGGTTTCTCCCAAGGTTTTTTCTCCATTCTGTCACCGATGGAGTTTTGGTTCCTTGCCGCTGTCGCCTCTGGCTTGCTTAGTTGGGGACACTTCATTTCCAGCGATATCGTTGACTTGATTTCCAGCGATATCGTTGCTAATGATTGCAAAGATACCATTTAAACTGAACTGAGCTGGATGACGACATCACTGAATTGAATGATGAACTGTCTTTAACTGAAAAATGAGTGTTTACTATTGTCATTTTGCATTATTGACACTATTTTCCTAATTAATGCTATTCAGTTGCTTTGAAACAATCTGTATTGTTAAAAGCGCTATATAAATAAAGGTGACTTGACTTGACTTAATATTTAAAGATATCTTTAACATCGTTCTGTAGTGTCTGTTAATGTAATTTACCATTTTTTCCAGCTCTGAAATTTTGAGTTCCTGTTGATGAATCTGCTGGTTCTTCATCTCCAGAACTTCTTTAAGGCTCTTTAGGTCTTCCTCAATATGCTGATAAGGAGCAAGGGCATCCTGTACACACAAACAGAAAACAGATGCAAACTACTGTAGCGTCTGGAACACTCCAACACACAATATATATTTTGTTAGCTAGATTTCACAAATACTTTGTAACACCCCAGGACGCTGAACAAGACCCTGGTTTCATGGTAACCCGATACATTTACAACCTTGTGGAATGCGAGCCGGCTCTCATTCTGCTTTCTCCAGAAACAAAGGGACACAAATGCACAGGAGAAATGGACTTTTCTACTAATTAATTCATAGGAAAACCTTCTTTGAATGAACACCCATTTTCTTCAGGCCAGTGTGTATATTATTGCTGTGTTGACATTTCTATATCCCAGAACTAACCATACCTGATTTTTTAAATAGTTGATTATTATTACATTATAAAATGTAAATTAAAGGATTAGTTCACTTCCAGAATAAAACTTTCATAATTATTTACTCACCCCATGTCATGCAAGATGTTCATGTCTTTCTTTCTTTATTCAGTCGAAAAGAAATTAAGGTTTTTGAGGAAAACATTGGAGGATTTTTCTCCATATAGTGGACTTCAATGGCGGCCAATGGGTTGAAGGTCCAAATTGCCGTTTCAATGCAGCTTCAAAGGGCTCTACATTTATCTAGCGAAACGATCGGACATTTTCTTAAAAAAATAAAACCACAAATGCTTGTCTTGCACTAGCACGACCTCGCGAATTACGTAGTCATGTTGGAAAGGTCACGTGTGACATAAGCAGAAGTACTGACCCAGTGTTTAAAAAAGAGAACTTGCAAAGAAAGTCAAACGCCCTTTACAAAAAAAGGTAAAAAACAATGTTGGACAAATTTGAAGATAAAGGAGAAAATTAGTTTTTTTTCGCCCTACCCTACCTTTTTGAACCGAAGTACACAGACAAAGAACTTACCACTAGTGACCTTTCAAACTTGATTACTTGATGCATAAACTCCCGCGTGCGCATTGCACAGCTATAGTGCAAGTTGAGCATTTGTGTAGTTGAAAAGAATATACATTTTTATTTATTTTTAGAAAATGGCCGATTGTTTTGTTAGATAAGACCCTTATTCATGTAATTGGCTAGATTAACAAATAACCAGACGCCACCCGATCTAAATATTCCCTCACAGTTTAATAGTAATGACTTTATGAATTTCTTCACTGATAAAATAGATAACATCAGAATTACAATAGCAAATGTAGATTCTACAGCGTATAATACTTCAGCTTCATTCATCGCACCAAAAGATAAACTGCAGTGCTTTACAACTATAGGACAGGAAGAGCTAAATAAACTTATCACTGCATCTAAACCAACAACATGCCTGTTAGATCCGGGACCTACTAAATTACTGAAAGAGTTGTTACCTGTAGCAGAAGAACCGCTTCTCAATATTATGCAACTAGACGGATGTACGGTTACTTCCGCTATAGTCAAAAATCTGGGTGTTATATTAGATAGCAACTTGTCTTTTGAAAATCATATTTCCCATGTTACAAAAACAGCATTCTTCCATCTTAGAAACATTGCCAAGTTACGAAATATGTTACCTGTTTCTGATGCAGAAAAGCTAGTTCATACATTCATGGCCTCTAGACTGGACTATTGTAATGCACTGCTAGGTGGTTGTCCTGCATCATCAATAAACAAGCTACAGGTAGTCCAAAATGCAGCAGCCAGAATCCATGCCAGGTCAAGAAAATATGATCATATTACCCCAATTTTACAGTCTCTGCACTGGCTACCTATTAAGTTCCGTATCAGTTACAAAATATTATTACTTGCCTATAAGGCCCTTAATGGGTTAGCTCCTGTGTACCTAACTAGTCTTCTACCACGATACAATCCATCACGCTCCCTAAGGTCGCAAAACTCTTTTGGTAGTATCTAGGATAGCAAAGTCCCCTAAAGGAGGTAGAGCTTTTTCGCATTTGGCTCCCAAACTCTGGAATAGCCTTCCTGATAACGTTCGGGGTTCAGACACACTCTCTCTGTTTAAATCTAGATTAAAGACCCATCTCTTTGGCCAAGCATTCAAATAATGCATCTCATAATGTTATACTGCAGTTATATCTGATAATCACATTATTATTCTTTAGTTTGGGTTAAACAAATCAATTTTGCTTGGTTGGAACAGCAGCTACGCTAATTATGTCTCTATTTGTTTCTCTGTTTTTGCCTAACTAGGATTTACACAAGCTTCAGTCTGGATCCAGAACACCTGAAAAGAGATGATGCCAACCCCTCAGAGGACCTCAGATGATGCCAACCCTGAAACAGCATACAGAACTACCACATTTAGCTATAAGTTTGATTGCATCATTTAATAATTGCTGTTAATAGTGTTCATCGTCTGTTTTATTACGTCTTAAATTTATTTTTCCGTACATTTCTGCCATATGTACATTAACTGACAGGCACCACTGATAAGCTACCACTAAATATTGTAGAAACTTAATTTGCTGTAAAGTTGCTTTGCAATGATTTGTATCGTGAAAAGCGCTGTACAAATAAACTTGACGACTAAACTTGACTTGACTTATTCCTCGACTGGGATCGTGTAGAGCCCTCTGAAGCTGCAATTTGGTCCTTCAACCCGTTGGCCACCTTTGAAGTCCACTAAATGAAGAAAAATCCTGGAATGTTTTCCTAAAAAAAACTTAATTTCTTTGCGACTGAAGAAAGAAAGACATGAACATCTTGGATGACATGGGGGTGAGTAAATTATCAAGAGTTAGTTATCTGGAAGTGAACAAGTCCTTTAACGAGTTACTTCAAAGCAGTAAAAAAAAAAGTGTCCAGCATGTTTCATTACTGTTTAAAAAGCATCCCAGGATGTCCAGAATTTGCAGAGCTATAATCTAGACAAAAAATGGTGACCCAAAAATGAAAATTCTCTGGTCATTCTCTGAATATTCTTTATTTTCTGGAACACAGATGACAAATTTTGAAAAATCTGGGGATGAACTCTTGTTTTAATACCACTGGCCACACACACACACAAAAAAGAATATGAAGAACAGTACCACTATCTGCTCATCTGTGCTTCTGCGCAGTGCTTCTTCAAAGCGCTTGGCCCGGTCTCGCAGAGCGCGGTTCTGAAATGTCAAGGTGTCCACCTGATCCTAAACACAGCACAGAAACACATGCTATTATAAAGAAAAGGGTAAAAACAATGTACAATGAACGTTGGCATTAAAAGCAGGAACATACAGTACCTGCAGTGAGAGTCTGAGCTTCTCAAATTCCTCTTCCATTGACTTCTTTTGCTGCTCATGTGCCATCTTCAGGTCTAAAAACAAACAACCAGTTCATGTTAGTAACACACTGATGAAAAAGAATTAACAGAGAGTTTTGATTCAGTTGTCTGTAGTAATGTTGTTAATAATGCAGTCCAAGTAGGCCGCTAACTAGGTTTTTAGACACAGTTGCTTGGATTTCTGGGAGTGTAATGGATGTGTCTGTCAGCAGGACTCACTCTTGATGGTTCTGGTGTGTTCTTCCTGTAAAGTGCCCAACGTGGCACCATGAGTCGCTTCTATTTCCATCATTGCTCTCTCATGGTTTTCACTCATTTCCTCAATCTAAAACAGAAAACAAAAATGGTTGTCAGTTTTAACAGGCGCACTGGAATACTGGATTCTGATTGGTCAATTGAAAGATTTTACAATGTATATCTGAATGTTGTCAATAGAAGCATACAGTGCCATGCTGCTTTCATTTTGTCTTACTCTGTTGTCTTTCTCTTTTTCATACCAACACTATTTTGATTAGCTCTATGTGCCATTTTGAGACTTGTTGACAATATGAACTTTTAGCTGAAATTTTTTTTTATTACTAAGTTATGAATCTCTGCCCACACAGAGGTCACTGGTGAACCAAAACACTTGCTATTGGCTGGAATTGCAAATTTGTGTGTTAAAGTTCAAGGAACTTAAATCTGTGGAATTATACATTTCTTAGATTCCCATTTCGCTAAAATTTCGCTTGCAAAATTTAATTGTGCAATGGCACCCAAATGCTTTTTGCATACACTAGAGTATGTGTACAGTGCGCATGAAGATAATTTAATAAAGGCTGTAATTCGTTTCAAAACTGAAGTATATTTTGGGCTTAAGGGAAGATGATTACTGCATCATCAGACTACATAGTCATGTAACTACCTTTCCGTGCTTTCTTAACCCTCATGAGCCTTCACACCCTGCACTCCTTTATGTACAATGCTAAAATAAAAGCCTCTTCAAAGTGTGTCAATGATAATCTCAGTCTTTACACCCTGTTACTTCCTCATCTTACCTGTTCCTGGTGCTGGGAACGCAGCTGCTCCAGGTGGCGGTTCTGCTGTTGCTGGAGTCGCTGTATCTCAGAGGTGTGCTCCTCTATCAGTCTCTCCTGTAGGGCCTTGAGCTCCTGCTGTTGCTCCTCTTGTAGTCCTTTCAGCTCCCACTCAAAACTCTGCTCCAGCTGGGCCTTCTCACCCTGCAGACGCTCCCACCGCTGAACGCTGTCCACTAGAGAGACAGAAAATAGTTTGTTATGGTCATGCTTAACCTTTAGAAAATGTTTATGTTGATGATATATGTTGAATGTTGATATATTTGCAACCCTGTTACTTTCAACCTATTCTGCTGAACAAATTAAATAATATATGAGGTGTTATTTTATATTCATTAAATATGGGGATTGCGATTTTTGCAACCCTTTTAGCAAAAGTCTAAACATTTAATTTGAATCCAAACAGATTAAAAAGCATAGAGAATAGAAAGGGGAATCATGCTGTAACATGGTTGCATGCAACATAACACAGACAAACACATTGTTTATGGTCATTAAAGTTAGTACAAATTAAAAAATTTTACTGTATTCAACCAAATATCAATCAAAATTATGATATATTATTTTATATGAGATATTTAATGCATATTTGAAAATCATGGGATATCATGTATTTTAGGTGAAAATCATGAAGTGTTGCTTTACGTCTGCATGATGTGAGATGAGTCACATGCCAAATTAAATATGAGGGAGATGGAAAGAGAAAAATGCAGTTTACAAATATGTAATCGGAGAAGGTCTATATAGTTCCTTTCTTATTTTATGGTTGAAGTCATCCTAACATTAGTGAGTGTGCTGCAGCACATGTGTCAGCATGAGATCACTGTGAAGTACAATGTTTTTTTTGTTTGTTTTTTATCTCGGAGCCAGAAGAGACTTACCCACTTCATCCCTGATTCTGGCTAACTGCAGGGACAACTCCCTCTCCTTCACGGCAGCATTCTCACTCTGCAAAACACACACACAAGCTCACATGAGTGTAAGGGACACTTATGAAGAGAAATGGATTTAAAAATAGTAAAATGTGCTCAAAGCATTGTTAAATTAGTTTGTAATAAATTAACATGAGGGATGAATCTGCAGAAATCTGCACAACTTTGTGCATGCCTGGTTATGGATAAAATTAACAACAATTTAACATACCAACCAAAATACCACTTTAAATAAGATCCCTGTATACCAGTGTCAAGCAGTGACTTCTTTGCTATCTAATTTATTAATTTATCAGAGTTGACAAATAAGAAACACCATGGCAGGTGTCAATTTAAAAGTAGGAGGGCTGTTGCTAGGAACAGCCATTAGGTGGTAGTGCTTTTCTAAGAGACATACACATGCTTAGATAAACATGTATACATGTCACAAATGCAGGATTTGACAAGCATGGGGGAAACAAATGGAACAATATATAATGTGATTTTCAGTTATCTGTAAACATTTTGCAGACTGAGCACTGAGAAAACAACTCGTGGAAAGACTTTCTTGTGCATGAAATCAGGCACCAAAGCTGTTGTGGATCCACTCCCCCAAATCCATCCTTAACTGGCAAAGATTTGCAGAAAATTACCGTCGTTTGGCAAATAACAATTTACAGACAGTTACTTTTACATATTTCCCACATTTTATTATGTAACCCTTATGTTACACTTCAAATGACAGTATTTAGCTAGTCCCCAAACTCCTTCCCTCAAATGGCTTGGGTGTGCAGAGCATTCACAGCTTAAGAGGACTACACACCTCTGCTGTATACCTGCAGCACACATAATTAAATACAAAACAGCAAGTTCCTCTAGCCTTAAAATAAACCAGCATGCTCCAGATAACCATGCCACAGAGCTTAATCTGTACTAATTATACTAGGAGTAGCTGTATCTGTTCATAACACACATTTACTCCATGATTGATGATGCCACAATACAATGAGATGCTAATGATCCATACTTGTTTATAAGAATCAGTGTCAGCAAATGATACAGCATGAGTCAGCATTTTAACATAGCAGTCCTGAATCATGCTGTCATTCAGGTCCAAATGCCAGCTGAGATCCCACCGCATCTGCTGTTTTAAAACACCTCTATGGACAGTGACTGCCATTGTGAAAAGTATTATGGTAGTTCCATGGTACTGAAATCCATGCACCATTGTATTAACAAGGTACTTCCCAGGAATACCATGCCACCAACATAGTACAAGTCCAAAATGGTAGCATCGTACTAAATTTTTTTTTTTTAATAATCTGTATGTCAGGCTATTAAAGTTGACAAAAAAAGTTAACAAACTCTTATTAAAAATAGTTTCTGCACCAAATGGAACTGCTAAAATAATGACTGTTGTAAAACAATGTCTGTCTTTTTTTTTTTTTTTTTTTACATTTTTAAATAAAGTTGATTAAATAAGTTAACAAAAAAGACACACAATTTGTAATGTATCGTGCCTTAAATAGATGCTGCTAGCCTTTTTAATTTATAACCCTCTCATACAGTATGTAAACTAACAGCAGGGTCAAGACCCTATGACCCCACGAATGCCCTGACCTGTCATCATTGTGTCCCTTCTTCAGATCTCACCCAATCAGATTTTTCTCCGGCACACAACATGTCACGCAGATCCCTGGAGAGTCTTTCCATGAATACAAATCTGACTGCCTTGTCTTCACCGTAGTTACCTCACCTATTTTCGTTTCCTGCTGTGAAAGGTCTAGAATAGTTAGAGCAAGGCAGTCTTAAGGACCCAGTCCCCACCTATAAAACAAAAGATAAATCTGCAGGGCGTAACACTGTAACACCCCAACACACCTACAACACTGAATGTGCTTAAAACATATATGGACTTTCTTATAAGGGTTTTGTACTAGGCATTGTGATTACTACTGCTCATCTTGAGGATTAGTGAATAAAAAACAATAACCCTAAGTATTACATTTTGGTTCTGTAACACCGTCTGTGCTACAGACATTGCAATACTTCAAATCATATGGCTTGTTGAGGTAATCCCTACATTTACACTAAATGAACCAGCTTTGGCCCAGTAGGTATAGCAATCACCCTAGAGACTGCATAGCAACATGCAAATTCCACTAACAACAAACAAGCACTCACAACACCTTAGGAACCACATGGAAAAATCCTGGCAACCACCATGAACAGCTCAGTGACTACACAGTAACCTGCAAACAACCACGTGCAATACCTTAGCAACCACAAAGCAAAACCCTAGCAGCCATTCAGAACACCTCAGCAACTGCATAGCAACACATAAATAACCACTCATAACATCTTAGAAACCACATAGCAACACCCTAACAACCACCGAGAACACTTTAGCATAGTAACGCACAAAAACCCCCCCACAATACCTTAGAAACCACATAGCAACACCCTAACAACCACCCAGAACACTTTAGCATAGTAACCCACAAAAAAAAAAACACAACATCTTATAAACTACATAGCAACACCCTAACAACCACCCAGAACACCTTAGTTTAGTAACCTGCAAAAAACCTATAAGACCTTAGAAACCACATAGCAACACTAACGACCACCAGAGCACTTTAGTTTAGTAACCTGCAAAAAAAATAAATACCCACAACACCTTAGAAACCACATAGCAACAACCTAACAACCACCCAGAACACTTTAGCGTAGTAACTTGCAAACAACAACCCATAAGTAACACCTTAGAAACCACATAGCAACACCCTAACAACCACACAAAACACTTTAGCATAGTAACCTGCAAAAAAACACCCACAAGACCTTAGAAACCACATAGCAACACCCTAACAACCACCGAGAACACTTTAGCATAGTAACCCGCAAAAAAACCCCACAACACCTTAGAAAGCACATAGCAACACCCTAACAACCACCCAGAACACTTTAGCATAGTAACCCACAAAAAGAACAACCCACAACATCTTAGAAACTACATAGCAACACCCTAACAACCACCCAGAACACTTTAGCATAGTAACTTGCCAACAACAACTCACAACACCTTAGAAACCACGTAGCAACACTCTAACGTCCACCAGAGCACTTTAGTGCAGTAACTTGCAAAAAAAACACCCACAACACCTTAGAAACCACATAGCAACATCCTAACAACCACCCAGAACACTTTAGTGTAGTAACTTGCAAACAACAACCAATAAGTAACACCTTAGAAACCACATAGAATCCCACTCTAACATTGTCATGACAAGTTTTGCAAGGGCAACATAACACTTTCTTCAGAAAATGTTAATATCCAATTAGCAATGTTTATATTAACACTGTCTATCAAATACAATAATATGTTTTTATTTAATAGGTCAATAAAAACCAAAAGTGCAATAAAATATAATGATATCAGACATCAAGTGTCAGCAGTCAGGGTGGGGTGTTTCCGTCACTAAGAGCACATGTTTGTTCTCACTGACAGCACACACACACACACACACACTACCATCATCACAAACTATATAAAAGATGACAGTAGAATGAAATAAACAAGGTATTATGCAAAAAGCATCACTGATTCTACTTTAGCAAACAAGTCACAGAGCAAGAAAGCAGCATCGCACACACTATTCTTGCTATTGTTTTACCGTAGTATCCAAACAGCATGTAGGATGGAGACACAGAGAGAGATTACAGCAACACTGGCTCATGCTATGGCAGAATGTAGCTTCATAAAAACCTGTCGGGGGAATACCATATCCATGCCACACGAGAGAAAGAGAGAGAAATGAGGAGAGCGAGGGAGTGGAGGAAAGACAGACAGTCAGAGCCAGGGAGAATGCGAGAAAAAAAGACAAAAATCGCCCAACAACCAGCCTTACCTCATCCTGTGTTTAGCGTCATAGCCTGACTACTGCAACAATGAGTACCATGAGTCTGCGATTCCACACATGTTCTTCAGACAACCCCCAAGCTTCTCGCCCTCTCTCTCTCACAAACACACACACTCAAGGATGTTGGGAGGAGGAGGGGTGAGAGGATGGAGAGATAGAGGAACAGGAGGATGGGATCGATAAAGAATAAAATAACATGTGTGCATTGTCTGATACTAAAGTCTACTGGGAACGAACACACATTTGTATCCAATCAGATGAAAGAAAGCATTTATAAGACATATTATAAAGAATTTGTTATATAGTACAGTGCCAACACTTAACTTATGATAATCTTGACATTTGCGCTTCTACACCATAAAGTATGCTCTAAAAACAGTCCTATGCAATAATTGTAAGCTTTATAATGATGCAACAGACCAAAAAAGAAACAAAAAACTGACAACCAAAAGAAACACTGAAAGGAACAATTCACATAGCAATAATACAGTATAGCAATGCCTGTGAAACCATTCAGTATATCTTATCATGCCTTTACATGCATGCTATCGGAAATTTCCAACTTCCCACCTCTGAAGTTGTAATTATGAGTTTGTATAAAGTGTTTTGTTGTCAGAGAGAACAGGAATCATGGAGGACGGCTCATTCATGAGTTCATTTTTGCCTATTTCTCAGAGAAATCTTATTAAAGTAAAAAAATATTTAGTCAATGTCCAACAGGTTGATCACAACATGTTTTGAGCTCATTGGTAACCATATAAACAATCACTGCACTATAGATATTCATCTTGCTGACGATTCTAAAATATCAATCAAATAAATGCTATTTTCGCTGTGTTCAGTGCATAAATTAAGCATCAAATGGTTATTTATATATGAAAATATACATAACAGTAATGGCAGGAGAAAGCAATGTACAGTGGGGCAAAAAAGTATTTAGTCAGCCACCAATTGTGCAAGTTCTCCCACTTAAAAAGATGAGAGAGGCCTGTAATTTTCATCATAGGTATACCTCAACTATGAGAGACAAAATGAGAAAAAAAATCCAGAAAATCACATTGTAGGATTTTTAAAGAATTTATTTGCAAATTATGGTGGAAAACAAGTATTTGGTCAATAACAAAATTTCATCTCAATACTTTGTTATAATATACCCTTTGTTGGCAATGACAGACGTCAAACGTTTTCTGTAAGTCTTCACAAGGTTGTCACACACTGTTGCTGGTATTTTGGCCCATTCCTCAAGAGCAGTAATGTTTTTTGGACTGAGTTGCATCCAAAGAACACCATACCTACTGTGAAGCATGGGGGTGGAAACATCATGCTTTGGGGCTGTTTTTCTGCAAAGGGACCAGGACGACTGATCCGTGTAAACGAAAGAATGAATGGGGCCATGTATCGTGAGATTTTGAGTGAAAACCTCCTTCCATCAGCAAGGGCATTGAAGATGAAACGTGGCTGGGTCTTTCAGCATGACAATGATCCCAAACACACCGCCCCGGCAACGAAGGAGGGGCTTTGTAAGAAGCATTTCAAGGTCCTGGAGTGGCCTAGCCAGTCTCCAGATCTCAACCCCATAGAAAATCTTTGGAGGGAGTTGAAAATCCGTGTTGCCCAGCGACAGCCCCAAAACATTACTGCTCTAGAGGAGATCTGCATGGAGGAATGGGCCAAAATACCAGTAAAAGTGTGTGAAAACCTTGTGAAGACTTACAGAAAACGTTTGACCTCTGTCATTGCCAACAAAGGGTATATAACAAAGTATTGAGATGAAATTGTTATTGACCAAATACTTATTTTCCACCATAATTTGCAAATAAATTCTTTAAAAATCCTACAATGTGATTTTCTGGATTTTTTTTTCTCATTTTGTCTCGCATAGTTGAGGTATACCTATGATGAAAATTACAGGCCTCTCTCATCTTTTTAAGTGGGAGAACTTGCACAATTGGTGGCTGACTAAATACTTTTTTTCCCCACTGTAGATGTTGCGGGAAAAATTATTAAAACGTATCAATACTCCAACTGTATTTCTCCCCTCCACCATGTTTAAAGTTTATGGCCCACGCAACTCAGAAACTTGGCTATCATAAAGAGTTTCCCAGTTGTAAATATGACTTGAGAGGTTGTTCATGACCAGGAAACTCGCATTTATGATCATTTCGATAGCATCTGTCACGAATCCGGTCCATGAACTTTCCATTTCATTGACTCTCGCACTACACACTGTTGCACATCACCCCGGACTACATTTCCCATCATGCATTACTGATTGCACTCAGCACGAATTGCACACACCTGTTTACACTGATTGCACCCAGCTGTTTCATATCACTCCCCCACTATATAACACTCACTCTTATCCCTTCCATCTGCCGAGTATTGTTTCAGCATTTATCACTCCCCTAGCGATAGCTACTTTACGAAGCCCTTGTCATTTTCTTAGCCATTAGCCCTAGTCATTCGCCTTAGCCTTCTCGGTTTCTGATCTTCGCCTGGTTCCCTGGATTCACCCCTTTTGTCTTGCCCCTTTGATTCTATTAAATTAAAATTGTTTTATTAAATTAGATTTGTGAAATATTAAATATAAGTGTCACGAATCCGGTCCATGAACTTTCCATTTCATTGACTCTCGCACTACGCACTGTTGCACATCACCCCGGACTACATTTCCCATCATGCATTACTGATTGCACTCAGCACGAATTGCACACACCTGTTTACACTGATTGCACCCAGCTGTTTCATATCACTCCCTCACTATTTAACACTCACTCTGATCCCTTCCCTCTGCCGAGTATTGTTTCAGCATTTATCACTCGCCTAGAGATAGCTACTTTACGGAGCCCTTGTCATTTTCTTAGCCTTAGCCATTAGCCTTAGCCATTAGCCATTAGCCTTAGCCATTAGCCATTAGCCTTAACCCTAGTCATTCGCCTTAGCCTTCTCGGTTTCTGATCTTCGCCTGGTTCCCTGGATTCACCCCTTTTGTCTTGCCCCTTTGATTCTGTCTGCCGATCGTCGACCTGCTCTAGCCCTAGGACTATTCTTGTGTTTTGCCCACCATATACCTGTCTGACATTATCTGACCCATGCCTGTTTCATGACCACGTCTCTGTCTTCATTTCAATAAAGCTTGCATATGGAGCCGCACGTCTCACGTCTCGTCAGCCCCGTTACAGCATCGAAATGCAGCATTATTATTTGCATGGCAATTTAACAATAGCAGACAGTGACCAGTGGCTGTCAAGATCCAAAAATGTCATAAATACACCATAGCAGTTTGTAAAACTTGTGCACAACCACTTAAAACACCTTAGCAACTACCCAAGCAACCATCCAGAACACCCTTTACTACAAAGCATCCTGCAAACAATCACTCATGACAGCACAGCAACAACATAATACCCTAGAATAATGCCCATCCAGAAAGCCCTAGCAACCGCACAGCGACATGCAAATAAACAGTCACAACACCTTAGCAATGCCAAAGCAACCCCCCAAAACACCCTAGTGACTGCATGGCAACATGCTAACCACCACTTTAGCAACCACAAAGTAGTAACACCCTAACAACCACCCACTACACCCCAGCAACTATCTATCTATCTAATCTCTAGATTGACTTGATGCAGCCTATATTAAACTGCTGGTTTCGTCTGGCTGGAGGAGAACGGAACACTATTTCTACATACTATTTCCCTGTTTAATACTGTAAAGCTGCTTTGACACAATCTGCATTGTAAAAAGTGCTATATAAATAATGGTGACTTGACATGACTTGACTATCAATTGGCTTTGTACAAAAAAATGGGGTTTTCTAACATTATCAAACCATGCCCCTTTGTAGAACACAAGGCTCCTCATCATGCATGGTTTAAAATAAATGCAAACTTTACAGCTATGCAGAATATACAGTTGAAGTCAAAAGTTTACATGCACCTTACAGAATCTACAAAATGTTATTTTACCAAAATAAGAGGGATCATACAAAATGCATGTTATTGTTTATTTAGTATTGACCTGAATAATATATTTCACATAAAAGATGTTTTAACATATTGTCCACAAGAGAAAATAATAGTTGAATTTATAAAAATGTCCCCTTTCAAAAGTTTACATACACTTGATTCTTAATACTGTGTTGTTACCTGAATGATCCACTGGGTTTTTTTCATGAGTCCTGAACAGTTAAACTGCCCACTGTTCTTCAGAAAAATCCTTCAGGTCCAACAAATTCTTTGGTTCTTTGGTTTTTCAGCATTGTGTATTTGTACACATTATTGTGTTATTATTTTATAGGTGTATTTGAACCCTTTCCAACAATGACTGTATGATTCTGAGATCCATCTTTTCACACTGAGGACAACTGAGGGACTCATATGCAACTATTACAGAAGGTTCAAATGCTCACTGATGCTCCAGAAGGAAAAACCATGCATTAACTATTAAGTTACCAGCACTCCAGCATTTACAGCTTTGTCAGTGTGTTACCTTCTGGCAGAAGTGTTGTGTGGTTATGGTGAACACATCCAAGCATCGTGAAGACTTCCTGAGCTCGTCCTGCAGGATGATCAGCTGCCGAGCCTGATCTTCACATCTCTCTTTCAGTCTCTGTACCATCAACCGGTCCCGCTCTGCATCCACGCCCTCTGCACGCCCACCCAGACGGGCCACACATGACTTCTGACGGACTGCGGGATGAACAAAAGATATGAAAAAAGTGCATAAAGAAAATGAAGAGTGTTAGTATGAGAATAAGATTATTATTACAAAATTAGTGAATTTAGAATTTTGAGTGTGACAGGCTTTGCAAGATTCTCTCAGTTTATTTTTAAACTATAAGTATGCTTGAAATATGACTGCAATTCATGTAATTTCATACATGTGTCATTTAAGGCAATTACTGTAAATTATTGATTAATTAAATGTTTATAATTTACAGCTGTATAACGACCATATGTTAATGTGACCATAAAGACTATGTTTAGGTCAAACATTCAGCAGTAACTGCTGACTAATCCATAAATATATGTAACATATGTGTGGTAATACAGTGAAGCCCATGAGTGAAAATACTTTTCAAATTAATTTATTTAAAACAATATTATTTTATTTGAAAAAAATTTTTGTAGAATTATATGTGAATTAGATTTTTTTTAGAATTATATGTGAATTTAAAATGTACATACATTACGTGTATACACACACTACTTTTCAATAGGTAAAATTTTTTTTTTTTTATTAATACCTTTACAGATGATCAAAAGTAACATAAATGTTAATGTTACAAAAGAGTTTAATTTCAAATAAATGCTGTTCTTTTGAATTTACTATTCAACTGAATTTCTGTTCAAGTTCAAGGATCCTGAAGAAACTGTATCATGGTTTCCACAAAAAATATTAAGCAGCAAAAACTGATTTCAACATTGATAATAATAAGAAATATTTCTTAAGCACCAAATCAGCATCTTAGAACGATTTCGAAAGGATCATGTGACACTGAAGTATTTGCTCATGGAAATGCAGCTTTCCATCCCAGGAATAAAATAAATTTTAAAGTATATCAAAATAGAAAATATTTCTTCTTCTAAAAATATTTCACAATATTACTGTTTTACTGTATTTTTGATCAAATAAATGAAGCCTTGGTGACCATAAGAGACTTCTTTCAAAAACATTAAAAAATCTTAACGAACACAAACTTTTGAACAGTTAAATTGGATCATCCAATAAGACTTTAGAATAACTTTTTATAAATATGCATGTATCTAATTTGTAAATGTTTACAAACTCACTGTCACAAATCCGGTCCGTGGCCTTCCGGCCGATTACCACTAGAGATCACTCTACCATTACATTGACTCTCACACTACACAGACTGATACATGTCACTCCGGACTACAGTTCCCATCATCCATTGCACTTACACAGCTGAATTCACTGATCACACAGCCTTCACTAATCACACGCTCACCTGAGAGCCATTACACACTCTATTTAACACCCACTCTGTTCCTGTTCAGATCGCCGAGTATTGTCTAGAGTTTTTCACTCTCCAAGTGTTTCCATGTTTATGTCCTGTTTGGTCTCTAGTATTGTTCTGCGGTTTCCACTCTCCTAGTGTTAGCTGCTATATGGAGCCTGTTTATTGTCTTAGTTTTGTCTTTTTCATAGTTCCTAGTTTAGTCTAGTCTTGCCTTGCCTGTTTTCCCGTGTATGTATCGCTGCCTTTGTTTTTGGATTGCCCTGTCGTCTTGCCATTTGGACTCTGTTTGCCCCTGCCTGGACCTTTGCCTTCTACCTGGATTTATCTCTTGTCTTGCCCGTACCATACCTGTTTGCCATTGTTTGACCCTGCCTGTGTTCTGACCATGTTTATAAATGAAAGCTTGCACATGGAGCCTCACGTCTCGTCGGCTCCGTTACACTCACATTATATATTGGTATTTCAATGTATTGTGTATTTCAAATGAATTATTGAGGAAACAAAAAATGAGCAAAATATCAGATTCAATTAAATTATTATTCTTATTTTAGGACCTATATACAGTAGGATGTCAATTTAGCTTCCATTAGTCGAGAAGCATTGGCGAGGGAATTACTCGCCAGTTTCCTAATGGAAGTCTTTAGTCTTCACAGTGTTGCTATGACAACCACAAGTAGGCGGTTCATATGGGATGGAAAATGACAGTGGGAGGAGTGGCAGCAGCGGAGCAGAATAAAAAGACATCACACACTCACCAGGGGACTGAGGCTTGGGAGAGACCACTGCAAACCTCTTCGGGGACGACACAATGGGTCGGGTGATTTCTCCATCCCTTTGAAACTCCTTTCTAAAGACTGAATGAGAAACGGATATTTATATGTGTCAGAACCAGTTACAGTTCCAACAGTATGTACATATAATACATTTATGGAAAAATACTGAGTACCATCAAATCAAATAGTTATTCTAATCCAAAAACTCACAGATAAATTCTGCAATCAAAACCAGCTTTATATAAGATGAAGTAAATGCCTAAAGTGTCCACGAGCTGGAGCCCTTGGCCCACTAATGTTCTCTTTCTTACACTGTGACTGCAGTGTCAAGTCTGCATGAACAGCTATAATGATATGATATCATATGATAAAAATATTTTTATAATTTTTTTCTTCGAAATCAACACTGCATGTGTTTATACTGAACTTTCTATTCATCAACGAATAACAAAAAAATTGTGATAATAGATATGTGATAATAGATAATTGTATTTACAATTCTGATAACCCACAATAAACAGATATCAGTAGACAGACAATATTCTCTGTAATTCTGCAAAAATGCAGTTGATGTACATTTATTGTACACAACAGAGGTATTTTTGTACATTACGGAGGTGTAAATGTGTGTCATTTTCATATTCGATATTTCATATTCAACATTCATATTAATTAGTATGAATGCTGTTGTCATGGTGACAGCAGCATGCTCTGTCACTGACACACCTCTGCAGACAGGGTCATGTGATTTCACCGAGACACAAAACTGGTCACATAATAAACGAGCTGGCAGTGGAGTCACTTACCCACGGGTGAGGCACGAGGGGGCGGGTGCAGAGATCGGCGGGCTGGGGGCGGGGGGCTGCTGCGGTTCTGACTCCTGCCACTGCTGCTCTCAACAGGAGGGAGAGGAGAGCGCGAGAGGAGAGTTTCATCACTGCTGCTGTGCGGACCTGTGGAGAGCGAAAAAAGAAGGCATTGAGGAAAAAAAATCCTTTCTCTGCTATCCTATACTATTATACTTTTATTATACAATTAAATACAATTTATTACACATTTAAACTTATTATACAACTAAACATTTCTATAGTAGCAGTATTTGTATTGTTTTCTCGCTTATATACTTTTAATTATACTTTGGATAAAACATCTCTTAAATGAACATTTTAAATATGTATGTACACTATACTGCCAAAAGTATTGGGACACCCCCATTCTAACATGACAATAAATGGTTCAAAAAGAAATAATTGATTCAGTCACTGTGGAAGAACTTGACTGCTCTGCATAAAGCCAAGTCCTAATCCCAGCTGAACACCTCTGGTTTGACTTTAAATGCAGACCTTGAGGCAAAACCTCATCACCAAACACCAGTGACTTGTACATATGGGTACAGTCATTTTAGACACTTCCAAAATTGTTGCAACAGAGATGGAAATACAATTTTTAAATACATGTATTATGTTTCCATCTTTGTTGCCACAGTTTTGGAAGTGCCTTTTTCTGTTCTAAAGGGGTGTCCCAATACTTTTGTCCATATAGGGTATGTACAAGTCATTGGTGGAGTTTTTGGCTCAAGGTCTGCATTTAAAGTCACACCAGAGGTGTTCAGCTGGGATTAGAGACTTGGCTTTATGCAGATCAGTCAAGTTTTTCCACACGGACTAAATCAATCTTATCTTTTTGAACCTTGCCATATACACAGAGACATGGTCATGTTAGAATAGAAAAGAGTCCTGTCCAAACTGTCCAAAATTCCCTAGAATATCATTATATGCTTAAACATTAAGATTTGTACTCATGGAAATTACTAAAGTAGTCAAACCTGTTCATTAGAAGGGGGTGTCCCAATACTTTTGGCAATATAGTGTATGTGTGTGTATATACAGTATATATATATATATATATATATGCATGCATGTATATAAGTTGTTAACTCTCTTACCAGCATCCATAATTCATCCAAGAATAAAGATTGCTATCATTTACTCACCCTCACATCGTTACTTGCCTGTATGACTTTCTTTTATCCATACAATGAATATGAGTTTGGGACAACATGAAGTTGAGTAAAACATAACAGAATTGTAATTTTTTTGGGTGAACTACTGAATTTATTTATTTATTTTTTATAGAAGTTCCTGAGCTCAATTATGTGCTGCAAACTAATGGTGGTGTACAGCGTTATATGCAATGTTCTGCTGACACCGCAGATGTGTTGTCTTCAACTTCCCATATAGTCTGTTCATCTCAGATTTATAATGGATTTCTAGCCAGGTTTCCTGATTTAACAAAGGTCTTGAAAATGCTGACGCATCCTCCTTCAAGCTCACACATCCTACTACAGCCCAATAAAGTAATTGCAAAGTGGATGCAAGGTGAGATAAATGTGACTCAAATCATGATTAATGGGACACTGATTGAGATCAATAAAGTCAAGTGTAAAGTTGTCAAGGATTTAACTATACATAATACAGGGTTGTTGCTGTTGTTGTTGTTGTGTGTGCTACAGGTTATGACCAAAGCCGAATACCTTACTCGGTAAAGCACAGATAATGGCTTCAAAACAAATAATGAATTCAACCAATGACAGGTGAGCATGGGAACAGCGTGATATTATACATTAATCTCTAAAATTACTACGCAATAATGAGTGTGAAGTTAGAGTAAGTGAATGTAAACCTTATGAATGAAATGAGCACATCATGATGGCACATCAAACAGTCACGCTGTCGTCACTGTGCATCTCTAACAAATCAGAGCCAAAGGTAATATCAACTAAGGTACTGAATCATACACATTTTCTGCTATTTGATATGTCTATTTAAATGTTTGAAACCTTGTACCATTCATAATATCATTACCCTTAAACACAGTGTTTATGGCGCATGCGATGCACTGGACCAAAGACTTAAAGTCTTTTAAGGATTCTTTAGTAAAAAAATATATATAAATAAATGCACGAGCAATGCAATTTGAGTAACTTGTAATACATATATAAGTAAAAACATCCCATGATGTCAAAATGCAGAGGAAAATGTGCTGCAAATTATCACAACACAACACAAATACAGAAACGCGCTGCAAGTTCTCACAACACAACACAAATACAGAAACGCGCTGCAAATTCTCACAACACAACACAAATACGCGCTGCAAATTCTCACAACACAACACAAATACAGAAACGCGCTGCAAATTCTCACAAATACAGAAATGCGCTGCAAAATCTCACAACACAACACAAATACAGAAACGCGCTGCCAATTCTTACAACACCACCAAA